TTACAGCAATAAAACAGTCTCGAAACACAACCAACCATACAACAAAACATTCAGATAAGTATTTTTGCTTTCAAAGTAGACAGTATTACATAAATCCAATATTTCAAGAGGAGCATTTCAGAAAAATGACAAAAGATCATCTCTTAAATGAATACTCTGTTTGACTGTCATTTGTCCATGTATGTCACTTCATAATGAATACAGGGAAACAAAATACATCTCTTTACATGTTGAGCTTGATTAAGAAAACTAATATGGATAGTCTTAAATTTTTTTCAAAAGTCATGTAGCTAAATCAAAACTGGCATTTCAGCTGCAAACAATTTTTTTATATTAATATTTTGCCCACATGAGGGTAGTATAAGTTAACTTGTGACTAAGAAGGGGCAATTGTGTTAAAATCTACATAATTTCTAGAGGATGTGCCTTTTAAAATAACTATAGTTACTATTTAAAAAAAAACAAATTTCAAGTTTGGCGTGAATGAAGAAAAAAATATTTAACAGCAGCAAAACACAGCCAAATCAATGGTTTTAATATAAATGCTGGAAAATAAGACTACAGTCACTCTTTATCCCTCTCATCTCAGCCCCCATCTTAATTCTTGTTTTCTATGTAGTAAGGTTTTTCTTCTCTTCTGGCCAGCTGCCAGTTCTATAAAATAACTTGGAGTAAAGCTCTCCCCTTTCCTTGGGCCCTTCCCCCTAAGCAGCCCCAGGCGCCCTGTCTGACATGCTTTTCAAGGCGTGCTAGACTACATCGCAGACTTTCTGGCTCCACTTCCATTGTTTGCATGGCTGCTCTGCTCCTTATCCAGAGCCTGGATTAGCATAAGAATACTGCCTTCCCCCTCCGAGAGCAATCTCCCCCTCCAGAACACCTTACACCCCCTAAAAGAAAACAAAAGAAGGATTTTATTTTCACAATTCCCCTCCCCGGAACATACACAGACTTAAATAACCTTTTCCTATTCAAGGTTGTTAAAAATTAAAATCTTAACAATTAACTAAATCTGACCATGCTCAAAAATACTTGTTTGCATATATTGGTAATTGCCAAAAAGGCTGAGAGAGTCAACTTGATATTATTGTTACAGAACCTCATTCTCCATGCTCACCTACCTGGCACGATTTTATTTAGTGTTGTGTTATAGAAATATACTTTCAAACCAAAGGGCATATCACACTCAATCCAGGAACAGAACCGATGTCTAGAGGCAGACTGGTGGGGGGAGATACCCTATAGAGCAGGGTTGGGCAAACTTTTTGGCCTGAGGGCCACATTGGGATTGCAAAACTGTATGGAGGGCCGGGTAGGAAAGGCTGTGCCTCCCCAAACAGCCTGGCCCGCACCCCCTATCACTCCCTCCCACTTTGCGCCCCCTGACTGCCCCCCTCAAAACCCCCGACTCATCCAACCCCCCTCCCCCGCTCCTTGTCCCCTGACTGCCCCTCCCAGCACTCCCCGCCCTTAACCGCCCCCCAGGACCCCACCCTGTAACCAACCCCCCTGCTCCCAGTCCCCCGCCCCCTAACCACACCCCTGCCTCGACAAGCCCCCCGAGACCCCTCGCCTATCCAACCCCTCCTGTTCCCCATCCCTTGACCATCCCCCCCGAACCTCCTCCCCATCCAACCGCCCCCTGCTCCCTGTCCCCTGACTGCCCCCAGGACCCCCAGCCCCTTATCCAACCCCCCAGCCTTGGCCCCCTTATCATACCGCTCAGAGCAGCATGTCTGGCAGCCACGCCGCCTGGCCAGAGCTAGACATGCTGCCGCTCTGCTAGGCAGGAGTGGCAGGCCAGAGCCCTGCCCACACAGCGGCACCACTCCAGGGGAGAGGGGACAGCAGGGGAGGGCCCGGAGGCTAGCCTCCCAGGTCGGGAGCTCAATGGCCAGGCAGGACGATCCCGTGGGCCGGATGTGGCCTGCAGGCCGTAGTTTGCCTACCTCTCCTACAGAGTCCTAATCCATTTGCCCTCTGCAAAAAAAAAAAAAAAAACCCTAAGAACTCTCAAATACTTTGAGCAACATAAATTTTAAACATAGTAAACAGCCCAAGAGTTATTTTGTCTAAAAAAAAAAAAAAAAGCTGGCAAACACCTGTGCCAACAGGTTCAATGTGGGAGTCTCTTTCCTGCTTATTTATTTGCTCTTCCTCCAGTGTTCAACGAATGATGCCAAGGGCCCTTTTCCAAATTCTAGCAATAATATTAACACAGGGCCTACCATTAAGAAGGGCATGGCAAGGTTACTTCATAAATAAGGCTGCGATTTAGTCACGGAATCTGTGACTTCCAAAGACCTCCGTGACTTCAGCCAGCGCGGGTGGCAGAGGGGAGCCCCGCCGCTTTTGGCCACCACGGGCTGCAGGGGCCGCGGTAGGCATGGAGAACCCTGCAGCTCCGAACCCACACAGGCGTCAGGCAGGACCTGGCATCAGCGCAAATCCCCGCTGCTCCCAGTCACCGCAGTCCGCAGGGGGGGTCCACTGCTCCCCACTCCTGCGGTCAGCAGGGGGAGACCACCATCCCTGGCTCTCATCCAAAACAGGTGGTAAGGGGACCCCTGGAGCTCCCAGCTGCCACAGGCAGCAAGGAAGACCCCCGCAGATTTGAGCTGCCAGCGGAGGGGGACCTTGGAGCTCCCAGCCCACCCCTCCACAGCTGCTGAGGCTACCGATTTTGTCATGGGTACTTTTAGTAAAAAGTCAAGGACAGGTCACAGGCTTCCGTGAATTTTTCATTATTGCCCGTGACCTGTCCCTGACTTACACTAAAAATATCCGTGACAAAAACAGCCTTATTCATAAAGAGCAACAGGCAAGTAACTTGTTATTGACAGTTTAAAACAATCAGAATAAACATAGATACTGTTCATCATTGCTGAACCTAGTGTGATTTGGTTCAAGTTAATTTTTCAAACCCAACATTTTGTAAACAAGATGGTCTCATCCCTGTGATCTATGCCTAGTAAAATTAACAATCATTTAATTTGGTGTTATTCAGCACGTCCCACTTTCAATGGTGCAGACAGAAATCTGATTACTTTTCTGCATATGCGTCAAGCAAATGCTATTCGCAGAAGTAAAACCAAAATCTTAGGTTTCAGAGTAACAGCCGTGTTAGTCTGTATTCGCAAAAAGAAAAGGAGTACTTGTGGCACCTTAGAGACTAACCAATTTATTTGAGCATAAGCTTTCGTGAGCTACAGCTCACTTCATCGTATGCATCCGATGAAGTGAGCTGTAGCTCACGAAAGCTTATGCTCAAATAAATTGGTTAGTCTCTAAGGTGCCACAAGTACTCCTTTTCTTTTTGCAAAATCTTAGGTTGATTCATCTGATCACAGTGCGAAATTCTGCCAAGTTGGGAGAGGAGCAGTGTAGTGGTCTCTTGATCTCAAGTCGGGAGGGAGGCAACTCCGCCTCACTGCATCAGGCAATAGTGTTTGGTCTCAGGCCCTTCTGGCTGGGGCCGACCAAGAAGCAGTCCATAGCTCACAGCCTCTTGGCTGGAGCAAACAACAGTCAACAGTTGAGAGTTTTGGCCCCAGGGTGAAGCAGAGCAGTAACCAGTCTTTAGCTTAGAGTCTCCTGGCTAAGGCAGACAGCAATCAACAATCTAAAGCCCACAGCCTCCCGGCTGGGGCAACAAACAATCAAGCCACAGGCCTTCAGGCCTGGGATAAGTGTGTTGCCAATCCCCAGATAGGGGGAGTGGCAAAGACAGTAGGGGAACCTGGGCCCACCCTCGTACACTGGGTCTCAGCCCAGGACCATGTTAGTGGCAGGCAGTACCGCCACTGGGTTGGCAGGGAAACCAAAATCTGCTGCCTTGCTTCCCAGCACCACAATCTGCCCAATGTCTGGTTCTCCTGGGCTACTTTCTACCCCACTTAGTTAGCATTGCTCCGTTGAGATGGGGTTCTGTTTTGCCACCTCGCAGCAGCTACTTCAGCCACTCTTCAGGGTCCTCAGTCTCTTTGCTCAGTAGGGCACTGGTCTGCACGGCTGCTGGTCCAGGGTCCCACAAAAGGTTCAGCTCCCTAGAAGAGATGTCCACTTCCTTCTCTGTTGTGGCCTCAACTGAGCTACAGGACCCTCCCTTTATACTTCCTGCCCTGCCCTGGCACTTCCCCCGAGAAGAGTGGGCTGGGTTTGGTCCCTCCCAAGTCCAGAGGGAGGCCACTCTGCCTCACTATAAGCAGGCACTATCAGAATTAGAGGCCTAAGCTTGATCTGTTGCTCCCCAGGCCAGCATAAACTGAGAGTCCTGTGGAAACACCATGTTCAGCCTCCAGAGAAGGAACTAACTTACAGTCTCTCTTAAGTGACTTTTTATGACCTGCTGACAAAACAGAATTGGATGGTCTCTGGACTGAGTTGCCTCCAATATTTCTTGGCTAGAAGCACTGATAGCCCAAAGTAGCCTTTGAGAGCAAACAGGAAGAATAAAGGAAAAACTAGGAGCTCCCCTCTTAGTCAACAAAAGCTACAAAGAAAAAAGTTATATCTGAACACGAAGTGTTAATGAAATAATTACAGATAAAATATTTTTTCCATAAACTCAATAGGTGTTTAAATCAACAAGTTATCTTTATACAAGCAGAAGTTTAATGAATGAAATTTTAACTACAATTAAACTGATTTTCCCAGAAATACTAATAACTCCCCTGGCCTGAAAAAAAAAAAAATCATACATTTTCATCATGTGTATTTGGATACTGTTGGTACCTTATGTACAGCCTCACAACTATTCTTTTGTACCCTTTGGTACATACAAGTAGGTTTATTAGGCTTCAATAAGCACAGGCAGAATGAAGAGGCAAGCTAGGATGCAAAATAAAATTCCAGCTGCCACCAAAAATATCTTATAATTAGATGGGACCGCTGTCTGTTATGTAACTTGTAAACTATTTTGATATTCTCAATATCAAAAATTGATAACCATCACTACTACAGCACATGACAAGCTAAAGTGTACAAAAACTGTTACCTACCTTTTTGTAACTGTTGGTCTTAGAGATGTGTTGCTCATGTCCATTCCATTCTAGGTGTGCGCGTGCCTACGTGCACAGTTGTCAGAGATTTTTGCCTTAGCATCCTGATTTATGTGCACTGGCATGGTCACATCACCAAGACTATCACCCAAGCCACAGGAGGATGGAGTATTTCACTTATTGTCCTTCAGTTCTCTGTAGCCTGTGACAGTTGATAGTCCAATATTACATGACAGTCTTTTTCCTGCTGTTCTGTCTTCACACACTTGCCCTTCAATGACCTCACCTGCTCTCTGTCTGTCATTTCTACGTCAATAATTCAGATGCAACTCTCCACTAACAACATCTCCCCATCCTCCATCGGGGCTTAAAAGACTTCTTGCCTTGGCTCTCCTCTCACTGACATCCCACAACTACCTTGAACTAAACATAGCAAAAAATGAATTTATCCTGCCTTCTAAACCTCTTCACCATTAGCAACTCCTTTATATCCTCAATCACTCAAGATTGCATCCTTGTGATTATCCGACTCCTTCCTTTCCTCTCTTCATATTAAGGCTCTCAACAGTCTAAAATCATGCTGCTTCCTGTCCATCCCCACTATCAAAACCCTGGTTGTTCGCTCCATGATTCTCTTACAGTAATTCGTGCAACTACCTCCTCTCAGGTGGACCAAACTCTCAATTCTCCCTTCTTCATATCCAACTTTCAGCAGCTAAAAGTCTTCTTGTTTCAAGAAGCAGCCTTGTATACCTCCAAGATGGAAAAAAGATTTAAAAGCATATTGTTGAATTTGCACTGGAATTAGTAAAGAACTGATTATACACCCACAAAATCATAAATACATATTCATAGCGTAATTTAGACACCTTTGTGCTGAGGGACTGACCCACAGATTTATCCCAATAAAACAAAACAATTAGAAGATTTACTAATTTGTTTAGTCATATTCAGGTAGCAATTAAGGGCTTTTTAAATCTCTACTACTGTGTAAGAAATGTCAGTCTGGATTCCCTGAGAGTGAGACAGGTGGAGGGAAGAACACAGATTTAGAATATGTCTACACTACAGCTTATGTCAGCATAAATTACGTCGCTCAGGGGGGTGAATAAACCACCCCTGAGAGACATAAGTTACACCGACATAAGCGCTGGTGTGGACAGCACTATGTCAGCAGGAAAACTTCTCCTGCCAACAAAGCTACTACTGCTCATGGGGCTGGAGTAGTTAAGCTGACGGAAGAGCTCTCTCCTGTCAGGTTAAAGCGGCTAAATTAGAAAGCATTGGTGCAGCTGTGCCGCTGTAAGCTCTCTAGTGTAGCCGAAGCCTCAGTATACCAGACACTGTCTTAGTCGGGAATTTTGTGAAAGGACATGGGATCATTTATTTCCATGGAACACTTTTTATGTGGAATCAACCATTAGGGAGTTTAGATTTCACTCTCTGTGCTGAGGATAAAACTATGAGGAATGTAGTACATGGCAGATGATAAAATCAGTAAGTTAAGATGATCCCACACATGAGCAACTATATGAAGTATATGGTACCTGTGATGGGGTGTACCAACCCCGCAGCTGGCCAATGGGGACATACCAATCACTGTGGGCCTAACAGGCCATGCCCCCTCATCTCTGCTGTGCATGCTCTAGGTGAAATGGACAGATAAAAGGAGGAATCCTAGCTCAGTCTGGGCTGCCTAAGAAAGAGGAAGGATGTGTGTTGCAAGCTCCTGTAGAACACCAGAGACCCTCCAAGTGATGGGAACTGTGGTCCCGGACTACGCTGTGGACGACCAGGCGACTGCAGAGGTTGACGGGGACACTGAGCCGCTGCCAGCTGGAGAGAGGCCTGAGATGCAACTTGTGGTAGGAAGTGACCCAGAGAATGTAGTAGAAGCCAATGCTTAAACCCTTAACAGGGAATTTCCTGGCTTCATAGGGACCTGGGTTGGAACCTAGTGGAAGAGAATTTCCCCTATCCCACCCCACTTGCTACTAGCCGTGGCTACTGTTTGTTTGCCTGCCCTACCCAGGAGGCTCAGGGGCCATAGGCTCTTTGTTATGTCCTGCCTATGCAGTCAGGACGCCCAATTACTGTTGCTTGCCCCAGCAAGGAGACTCAGATGCCACAGACTGCCTGTTTGCCCTGAACTGCCCGGGGACTACCAATTGTTTGTCCTGACCTGCCGAGAGGGTCAGGACCCCAACTGCTGTTGCTTGCCCCATAGACTGCTTGTTTACTCTGCCCCACCCAGGTTCTACAGACTGACTGACTGTTCTGCCAGGCCCAGAGGGTCAGAAACCCCAGTTGTTACTGTCTGCCCCAGCCAGGAGGCTTGGAGGCTACAGACTGCTTGTTCTAACCCGCCCAGGGGCTGTGGATTGATAATTTGCTCAACCCTGCCAGGGGTCGTTAGGCCATTTTATTTTAACAATTTGATCCCACAGGGAGTCCAGATGACGGTGTGATAGGGTGTACCAACCCCACATCGGGCCAATGGGGGCAGCCCTGTTCGATAAACAGGGCCCCCTGTCACAGCACCCTTCAAACACCTTTGGGCTGTACGTTGTGGAGAAACCAAAGATCGCTGTGTCTTGGTGTAGATAGTACTCCCCGTGGGCTCTGAGCTGGATGCTGAATCTCCCAACGGAAGGTCTGGGGAACCAAAACTAGAAGAATGGTCCTCAGTAGAGCACCAAAGAAGAAAAAATTAACAGCTTCATGGTAGTGATTGTTTGAATGTCACCAGCAACTAATCATACACCAACTCCAGTACAAAAGCCTCCACATACCAATGCACTGCTCATGTTTGACTTGATTAATACTGTGTCTTTCTGCCTTTGTCAGCACAAATTGAGATTTAGGAAATCTTTCAATATAACATCACTGTGACAGTCTGTACTTCTACATTCACCCCTTCTACAAGACTATGAAAAATTCTGTACAAAGCACACTGTGTAATATATCTTTTCAAAACTCAGGATTTGCTGATTATTATTGTCCTGGTAAAATGTGTGTGGCAACGCTATATGTAAAGATATAGGATTCCACTGTACGGAAGATATAGGATTACCCGGGACATGTTCCAACATGTTCTGGAGGGCAGTCACAAACAAGTTCCTCAGACAAAAGGCTAGCCAATGCCTCAGCCAGGTCAAACGGACCATCACCTGATTAAATGGCCACACTTCAGCAGGAGAGAGGTTGTGGGCAAAAGATCTATATTTTGACAAAGAAGCAATTTAAGGGACCTGGTCACACAGACTTACTGTCTCCTGAACAACTGTGGGAGATGATTCTTGTTCAGGAGAAATGGCTATAAGAGGAGACAGCAGATGCCCCAAATCATCTCTCCCTGCTCTCTCTATCCAAGGCATTACCCTGAAGAACAAAGGAAGCAGCATTGGACAGGGGAGGAGGGGAGGGAGAGAATCCTGACTGGAAGATGTTCAGCCTTAAGACTGCTGGAACAAACACCTTTGCTTTGTACTCACTCAGCTTGTTAAGTTAGGTGTTAGTTGCATTTTATCCTTTTATTTCCTTGTAACCAATCCTGACTTTTATGCCTCATTACTTGTAGTCACATAAAATCTATCTTTCCATAGTTGTTAATTTTTGTTGTTGTTTTATCTAACCAATGTGTTTGGATTAAACCATTGTGTTTGGGAAACTTCATTTGGGATAACAGGATTTGTGCATATCATTTTCTATTAATAAAGTGACAGACCTTATATGAGCTTGTATTGTCCAGGAGGATGCTGGGCAATGTTCCCTCTAATTTTTTCCACCCATGTGCAGAATAAACTTTGTTATGTGCCCCAAGATAATGTGCAGATGTGCGCCACCAGTAGAAACAAAAAACCTAAATATATTATATGTATATATTTTGAAGTTACCAATAGGGATAATTATTCCAGCCAGGACAGGTTAGGCATTTTAGAACTCACAACTCAAAAAATTAAATTTAAGTGTAAGAGAGAAATAAAAATTATGAAATGCATAGACCAATCAAAAAACTAAAACAACACACTTTGAAAGAATAAAATTACAGAGAATATGTGCGCATATATATCTGTGAACCAGCTGAGCAACGAACAGCAGGGAGGCTAACAGAGGGAGTTTGTCTGGGACCTGCCTAAGAGGAGGTACGCTAAGGGCTGCATTAAGAAGGCTGTGTTGGTGAGTATCTGAGCGTCTGCTGTGGGAACAGTTTGACCATGTGCTTGATTGGTGGTTTGAAAAGCATGAATTGGGAGTGCTTTGTTCCAGGTGAGCCTTGAGTGGGCCTGACTGTTATAAAAAACCAGTCAGCTGCAAACCAGCTGAGCGGCCAACAGCAGAGAGGCTAACAGAGGGAGTTTGCCTGGGGAGAGCCCACTGAGGCTTACATCTTGCCAGCTTCTCTGAGTAGTTACTACAACTCCTGAGGAAGCTCATAGAAGGAAGATAATATGGATAGGGAGTGTTCAGCTCTTTGTGACCTTCACTGGATGTGCCACGTTTGTCTTTCTTCCACAGGACAGAAGCGACTTTGTCTGTACAAAGTGCAAGCTGGTCTCCATATTGGAAGAGAAGGTTCAAGGTCTGGAGCAACAGGTATCGACCCTGCGTTGCAAAAGAGAAACTGAAGATTTCCTGGACAGACGTCGGGATATGCTTCTATGGACCCAACGTTCTGAAGATTCAGAGCCGGCTGCACTGCGGGGACGGGGGACGGTGAAGAAATTTGGCAGCATGTGACCTCCAGAAGAAGGAAGGGGAACATCCATGTACCAGCAACGCAAATACAGGTAAGTAACTGTTTTCATGTTCTCTCCACAGGTACTAATGCGGAGAGTGGACTAGATGATACATCTGAGGGAAGGGAACAGAAGGAGACTCCGCCGATTGGAAGGCATGAGATGCACTGACCTAGGGTTGGGGGTTCCACGACCACCGCTCCCAAGAGAAGGAGGTGGGTGGTGGTGGTCGGGGACACTCTCCTCAGGGGCACTGAGTCATCTATCTGCCACCCCGACCAGGAAAACCGAGAAGTCTGCTGCTTGCCAGGAGCTAGGATTCACGATGTGACAGAGAGACTGCCGAGACTCATCAAGCCCTCGGATCGCTACCCCTTCCTGCTTCTCTACGTGGGCACCAACGATACCACCAAGAATGACCTTGAACGGATCACTGGAGACTACGTGGCTCTGGGAAGAAGGATAAAGGAGTTTGAGGTGCAAGGGTGTTCTCGTCCATCCTCCCTGTGGAAGGAAAAGGCCTGGGTAGAGACCGTTGAATCGTGGAAGTCAACGAATGGCTACGCAGGTGGTGTCGGAGAGAAGGCTTTGGATTCTTTGACCATGGGATGGTGTTCCAAGAAGGAGGAGTGCTAGGCAGAGGCGGGCTCCACCTAACGAAGAGAGGGAAGAGCATCTTCGCAAGCAGGAAGGCTAACCTAGTGAGGAGGGCTTTAAACTAGGTTCACTGGGGGAAGGAGACCAAAGCCCTGAGGTAAGCGGGGAAGTGGGATACCGGGAGGAAGCACAAGCAGGAGCGCGCGAGAGGAGAGGGCTCCTGCCTCATACTGAGAAAGAGGGACGATCAGCGAGTTATCTCAAGTGCCTATACACAAATGCAAGAAGCCTGGGAAACAAGCAGGGAGAACTGGAAGTCCTGGCACAGTCAAGGAATTATGATGTGACTGGAATAACAGAGACTTTGTGGGATAACTCACATGACTAGAGTACGGTCACAGATAGATATAAACTGTT